GTGTGTGCGTGTGTGTGTGTGTGTGTGTGTGTGTGTTTTGGTGCATGTATAATACTTGTAGAATGAATCCTAATATTTATCATTACCACAGGGGTTGTATCATTGGTATTTTTTTTGTCAGTTATGGGGCTTGAACTAAGGGCCTGAGCACTGTTTCTGAGCCTCTTTGTGCAAGGCTAGCACTTTAACACTTGAACCACAGTTCTACTCTCTGAGCAGGTTTCTTGATCTGTATATTTTAACTCATGACAAGCATATAGTATTAAAGTTTCAAACATAATTAGAGGTAGAGAGAATAATGTATATTTTCCATATATTCATAACTTTTTTTAAATGCCTAGCATTTGGCCACATTTCTTTTTTTTTTTTTTTTAATTTATTTTTTGTCCAGTTGTGGGGCCTGAACTCTGGGCCTGGGCGCTGTCCCTCAGCTCTTCAGCTCAAGGCTAGTGCTCTACCACTTGAGCCACAGTGCCACTTCCGGCTTTTTTCTTTCTGCTTATGTGGTGCTGAGGAATCGAACCCAGGGCCTCGAGCATGCAAGGCAAGCGCTCTACCACTGAGCCACCTTCCCAGCCCTGGCCACATTTCTTAACTCTTTAAATTTTCTTTTTTTCTTAGTGACTTACCTAAAGTAAATTAAATGTTTTACCTACTGGTTAGTTTGGACATAGCCTGAGGACTTCAAATCCTACATTTTATTAAAGATGATTGACTTACTACTTTTTTTGGTTCTTTGTGGGACTTGAACTCATGGTCTGGGTGCTGTCCCTGAGCTTTTTTGCTCAACGCTAATGTTCTAACAATTTGAGCCACAGTGCCACTTCCAATTTTCTAAGGTGTTAATTGTAGATAAGAGTTTCACGGACTTTCTTTTCCAGGCTGACTTTCAACCACAATCCTGAATGGCTAGGATTACAGGCATGATCCACCAGTGCCCAGCATAAATTTCATATGTGTTTCACTTCTACAATTTTATTTTAGGTACTATGGTTTGAGCTTAAGATCTTCAGCTTATTTAGCTTACTTGTACAGTTACTACTCAACCATGTGAGTGAGCCATGCCTTCAGCCTGATTTTTTGATGGTTATTTTGGAAATGGACTTTTCTTCCTGGCTGTCTGTAAATGAAAATCCTCTGGATCTCAGCCTTCTGAGTAGCTAGGATTAGTGTGAGCCAGCAGTGCGTGGCTCACTTTTTTATTAACTATTCATTTCTTTTTTTTTTTTCTTTTTTTCTTTTTCTCTTTTTTTTGTCGGTCGTGGGGCTTGAACTCTGGGCCTGAGTGCTGTCCCTCAGCTCTTCAGCTCAAGGCTAGCACTCTACCACTTGAGCTATAGCGCCACTTCTGATTTTCTGGTGGTTTATTGGAGATAAGAGTTTCACAGACTTTCCTGACTGGGCTGGCTTTGAACCGCAAACCTCAGATCTCAGCCTCCTGAGTAGGTAGGATTACAGGTGTGAACCACCAGTGCCCGGCTAACTATTCATTTCTAAGATATGCTTTTCTTACAGGAGGATAATGTATACTACAAGGATACAAAGATGTATTACTACATAAGGAAATGTATAACTACAGGGTTAACAGTTCTAGCTGGCACCAGTGGCTCACACCTGTAACTCTAGCTATTTAGGAAACTGAGATCTGAGAATCGTAGTTTGAAGCCAGCTGGGGCAGAAAAGTTTGTGAGACTATTATCCCCAGTTAATTACCAAAAAGCCTGAAGTGGAGCTATGGCTTAAGTGGTAGAGTGCTGTCCTTAAGCACAAAGGTATTAGGGACAGTGCCTAAGACCTGAGATCAAGCCCTAGGACTGGCACAAACACACAAAAATTAACAGTTCTTTGTATTATATCATATCTAAATTTGTCTGGTAGTTTATCATCTAAAGCCAGTTAATTGTATCTTGTAATACTTTGATTTGAAACAACTCTTATTTCTTTTTCAGATTAGTGATGACGAACCAGGCTATGACCTTGATTTATTCTGTATACCTAAACATTACGTTGAGGATTTGGAAAAGGTATTTATACCTCATGGACTGATAATGGACAGGTAAGATCTTTTTAAAATTTTTAAAAATAAATTTTAAGTGCCAGTAATCGTTGTAGTTGATATTTGAATATATATACTAGGCTAACTTGTTAATTTGAATACTTTTTTTTGTTGGTCATTGAGCTTGAACTCTGAGCCTGGGCACTGTCCCTCAGCTCTTCAGCTCAAGGCGAATGCTCTACTACTTGAAACACAGAGCCACTTCCGGTTTTCTAGTGGTTTATTGGAGGTAAGAGTTTTATGGACTTTACTGCCTGGGATGGCTTTGAACTTTGATCCTCAGATCTCAGCCTCTTGAGTAGCTAGGATTATAGGAGTGAGCCACCAGTGCCCAGCTTTGAAAACTTTTTATTTTAAAGTTGTCTTTACAAAAACAAAAGATTATTATATAATAATATATAATGCTATATAATATTATATAATAATATAATAATTATATAGAATAATGCCATAATTTGTTAGAAATCTGTAGGGAGTAGAATAAAGTATACATTGAAAGGAGGTTGGAAAAGTGAGCTTTTTGGGGCTGGGAAGGTGGCTCAGTGGTAGAGCGCTTGCCTTGCATGCTCGAGGCCTTGGGTTCAATTCCTCAGCACCACATAAACAAAAAGAAAAAAGCCGGAAGTGGCGCTGTGGCTCAAGTGGTAGAGCGCTAGCCTTGAGCTGAAGAGCTGAGGGACAGCGCCCAGGCCCAGAGTTCAGGCCCCACTACCGGACCCAAAAAAAAGAAAAAACAAAGAAAAATGAACTCTTTATCAGTTTGATTTCTTAATCCTGCATAGAGTAGTAGCCTGAGAATCACATGAAGGCATAGTCAGATTTTCATTATTACACATATAGCTTGAAATGTTTCCCATCAATAAATTAGAATGAAAAACTTTTTCTGGTATTACATACGTGCTTATATGTCTGACTCTTCTGTTTATTTTCAAATTGTAATCATTTTTGTTTGTTTGTTTGTTTTTGTTGGTCATGGGGCCTGAACTCTGGGCCTAGGCGCTGTCCCTCAGCTCTTCAGTTCAAGGCTAGCACTCTACCACTTGAGCCACAGCGCCACTTCTGGCTTTTTTCTTTTTGCTTATGTGGTGCTGAGGAATGGAACCCAGGACCTCGTGCATGCAAGGCAAGCACTCTGCCACTGAGCTACCTTCCCAGCCCTCAAATTATAATCTTGGTCTTGGAATAATGAAGCACTTTAGGCTGGGTTCATGCCTGTAATCCCAGCTACTCAGAAATCTGAGATATGAGAATTGTAGTTCAAAGTCAGTTCTGGCAGGAAAGTCCATGAGACTTGTATCTCCAGTTTACCACCAGAAAACCACAAGTGGAGCTGTTGCTCAAAGTTGTAGGGTATTAGCCTTGAACAAAAAAGCTCAGGAATAGTACCCAGTCCTGGATTTCAAGCCCCATGACCAAACAAAACAAAACAAAACAAACATTGTATAATGGAATCTGCAAATGGAAAAATACAGTCCCTAGACATCAACTGCTCATTTATACTTACTACATGTAAATGTGGTTATATACACATATTTTTAACACATACATGTACTATCATATGCTACTAATTGTTTTTTGGGTCCAGTTGTGGGGCCTGAACTCTGGGCCTGGGTGCTGTCCCTCAGCTCTTCAGCAAAAGGCTAGCACTCTACCACTTGAGCCACAGCACCACTTCTGGCTTTTTTCTTTTTCTTTTTTTTTGTTGGTTGTGAGACTAAACTCTGGGCCTGGGCACTGTCCCTCAGCTCTTCAGCTCAAGGTTAGCCCTCTACCACTTGAGCCACAGTGCCACTTTCGGCTTATTCTGCTTATGTGGTGCTGAAGAATCGAACCCAGGGCTTCATGCATGCAAGGCAAGCACTCTACCACTGAGCCACCTTCCCAGCCCCGCTACTAAATTTCATCAGACTTTTTTTTCATATCAGTACATCGAGTTATCATATATCTAACATATTTTAGTAGAGAGAGCGAGTGAGCATAGCATTCTGTTTGTAGATATGCCATAACTGTTCATTATTGATGGCCACTTAAAATCTATTGATTTGCCCTTACCTACTATATTAGAGGGAATATCCTTTTCCATGTATTTGGCACTTGTATCCAGATATGATATAAATTCAAAATCAGAAGGAAGGCATTCATTGTATATTATCCTCCAAAAAGTTGTATCATTGTATACTCCCAATGGTATACTACCTCACAATCTCTATTAATGTATAATAAAGAAATATAGTTGAGTCAGTTTGCCAATCTGATAAGTAAAGTGACATCTTTTTATTTCCATTTTAAAATTTGTAATGTTAGCCGGGCACCGATAGCTCATGCCTGTAATCCTATTCAGGAAGCTTAGATCTGAGGATCACAGTTCAAAGCCAGCTTGGGCAGGAAAGTCTGTGAAACTTATCTCCAATAAACTACCAGAAAACCGGAAATGGTGCTGTGGCTCAAGTGGCAGAGCACTAGCCTTGAGCTGAAGAGCTGAGGGACAGGGCCCAGGCTCAGAGTTCAATCCCTATGACAGACAAAAAAATAAAAAAATCAATAAATAAAAATTAAAAAAATAAAAAATTTAATGTTACAGTGTCCATAGTATTTTATCTAGTCCAGGTACTGGGACTTGAACTTATGCTCTCACATGCTCAAGCTTAGTATTTTCACTCAAGACTCATTCACTACCACACCTCCACATCTGGTTTTTGTTTTTTTTTTCTTTTTTTTAGTGGGGGGGGGGTCCGGTCGTGGGGCCTGAACTCTGGGCGCTGTCCCTCAGCTCTTCAGCTCAAGGCTAGCGCTCTACCACTTGAGCCACAGCGCCACTTCCAGTTTTTTTCTTTTTGCTTATATGGTGCTGAGGAATCGAACCCAGGGCCTCATGCATGTAAAGCAATCGCTTTACCACTGAGCCATCTTCCCAGCCCCTCCACATCTGGTTTTTTGATGGTTAGTTTGCTGGTTATTTCTTGGATTTGTCTGCCCAGGCTGGCTTCAGACATGGATCCTCAGATCTTACACTCCTAAATAGCTAGCATTATAGGTGGGAGCCACCAGCACTGGGCTCATGTTCTACATGATTTTTAAATATACCACCTTTTAATTTTGCTTGAGTGGGTATGATGACACATACATGTAATTCTAGCACTCAGAAGATAAGAGGATTACGAGTTTGAGGCTACTCTGATTTATATAGTGACTATCGTTAAAAAAGTTAATATATATATATATATATATATATAAATTTAGTTTTTGATTTATGAAGCAAAGATACTTGTCCTGGAGGAAATGGATGTGGTTTTTAAAAGTTGGAAATTATAGATTTTTTGCACATTTGTTTTCAATCTCTCATTGTATTTCCACAGGACTGAAAGGCTTGCTCGAGATGTGATGAAGGAGATGGGAGGACATCACATCGTAGCCCTCTGTGTGCTCAAGGGAGGCTACAAGTTCTTTGCTGACCTGCTGGATTACATTAAGGCACTGAATAGAAATAGTGATAGATCCATTCCTATGACTGTAGATTTTATCAGACTGAAGAGCTACTGTGTAAGTATAGTTAGTATGGGTTTTTGTTTAAAAAATATAGAGCAACTTTGGTTTTGTCTGCATTGTTTTGAAGCTCTCTAAATGATTTACATCTTTTTTATAGGTGATAGAAAAAGTTATTACAAAAGAAATAAGACAGAAAGAGAGCATATGGCATACATACACCATAGAGAAGCCCACAGTTAACCTAGAGGACTCACATCTTTTTTTTTTTTTTGGTCGGGGGTGGGACCTGAACTCTGGGCCAGGGCGCTGTCCCTCAGCTCAAGGCCAGCGATCTACCACTGTAGCCACAGCATTATTTCCGGCTTTTCCTGCTTATGTGCTGCTGAGGAATCGAGCCCAGGGTCTCATGCATGGAAGACAAGCACTCTACCACTGACTACCTTCCCAGCCCATGACTTATATCTTAATTTTACTTAGTCACAGTGGAATTTTACTTTTGGCAGTTGGAGGGCTTGAGCTCAATGCCTAGGCGCTGTCCTGGAACTCTTTTGCTCAAGGTTAGCACTCTTCTACTTTGAGCCACAGCAGCTATTTCAATTTCTAGTGGTTAATTGATATCAGAGTCTTAGAGACTTTCCTTCCCAGGCTGGCTTAGAACCACAATCATCATTTTTTTTCCTTCTAGTCCTGTTGTTTGAACTCAGGGCCTGGGTGCTGTCCCTGAGATGCTTTGTGTTTTACCACTTGAGCCACATTACCACTTCTGGCTTTTTCTGAGTAGTTTATTAGAGATAAGGGACTTTTCTGCCCAGGCTAGCTTTGAACCACAATCTTCAGATCTCAGCCTCCTGAGTAGCTAAGATTACAAGTGTGAGCCACCAGACCCCGGCTGTATATTTTTTTAAACTAAAATAGTTCAATGAAAATGATGGGTTGGGTAGAAAAGTTATTAGACAAATTTTTTTAAACTAAAATAGTTCAATGAAAATGACGGGTTGGGTGGAAAAGTTATCAGATAAATATTTCCCTCCACTTCTGGGGATGAACTCAGGGCCTTACAAATGCCAAGCCACATGCCTAGTCCCAAAGCTAGAGTTTGTTGGTGCATAGAGGTTTTCACAATTCCTAGGGATGGAAAACTACGAAAAAAATGAAGTTATTTCATATTATCCTCATTGTTTTACCTAGACTCCAAGAGGTAGACAAAGTAGAAACAAATGGTAAGGATATGTATTTATACAAAGAGTTCTATAGATAGTTTCTTTAAATTGTAATTTAATTATTATTAAGGTGTTGTACAGAGGGGCTACCATTTCAAAGACATATCTTTAAAGCTAGTTTCAGGCCTCTGAAAAAAGTGAGAAGGGATGGGAAGAGAGGTGACTGGAGGAACTCACTAGGGGGCACTCTTCCTACATGCCAGCTCTTCACCCCAGCATTATTGTAATCAAAGATGAGGTTATATCGCCAGATTGGGTTAAGTGATATAGTACCGGCTGTGAGTAAGCAAGCTGAGTGAGAGCATGAGGCTCTGGTTTTAAGCCCTGGTACACACCAAACAAATGCATGTAAGGGGGATTCTGGAAAGGGAAAATAGGAAGCTCATTCGAGACAAGAAAGGAGGGAGGGAAGTTGATATAGTTCCTCTGGACGCTCAGGTCATACAATTGATTTACACATGGCATTTGTATATAATTTGAGCACTTACACCTGTATTCTAGTACGTGGACTTTCTCATTGCTCTTTTGAAAAACCGTGTGTGTGTGTGTGTGTGTGTGTGTGTGTGTGTGTGTGTGTGTGTGTGTGTGTGTGTGTGTGTGTGTGTGTGTTTATGTGTTTGTTGATACTGAGGCTTAAAACTCAGGGCCTCACATTCTGGCTCGGCTTTTTCCTTTTTAAATTGTTATTATAAAGGTGATATACAGAGGAGTTACAGTTACTTAGGTCAGGTAGTGGGTACATTTCTTTTTCTTTTGTCATTTGTGGGGCTTGAAGTCAGGGCTTGAGCACTGTCCCTGAGTGCTTTGCTCAAGGTTAGTGCTCTGTCACTTTGAGCCACAGCGCCACTTCTTGTTTTCTGGTGGTTAATTGGAGGTAAAGTGTCTCACACATTTTTCCTGCCCAGGCTGGCTTTGAATTACAATCCTCAGATCTCAGCCTCCTGAGTAGGTAGGATTATAGGCGTGAACCACTGGTGCCTGGCTGTGAGTACATTTCTTTTGGACAGTGTCTTCTCTTCCCTCAGTTTCTTACAGTTTTTCCCTCCCTTACTCACCCATGAGTTGTATAGTTTGTTTTCAACATAGTACCACCATTGCTACATTTGTTCACCTTTTGTCCCTCCATTTCTGTGATGGCTTTTTCATACAGTGTTGGTGTGTTACCACTTGAGCCACATCTCCAGCCCATGTACCATTACTCTTAAATCTTTTTCTTAGCCTTCATTCTAAAGGTGACTGGGATCCATTGAAAAAAAGCCTCGGCTGGGAATGTGGTTTAGTGGTAGAGTGCTGGCCTAGCATGCATGAAGTCCTGAGTTTGATTCCTCAGTAACATATAAACAGAAAAAGCCAGAAGTGACGCTGTGGCTCAAGTGGTAGAGTGCTAGCCTTGAGTACAGAGAAGCTCAGGGACAGTGCCCAGGCTCTTGAGTTCAAGCCTCAGGACTGGCAAAAACAAAAACACTTCAGAAAAAAACACAAACTCAAAATTATGGGGCCACCAGGTGTGTTTAAATTTGGGTGCTAGTAGAGCAGCAATACCTTGGATGTTTGGAGTTGTCTCTTACCCCATCAATTACATCCTTGTGTCATGAATATTTTTCCATAATGAGTACACTTCAGTTTTTGGATGTTTATTCCTCTTAAAAAAGAACGCACAAGCTGGGTCTTGGTGTCTCAAGCCTGTAATCCTCACTACTCAAGAGACTGAGGTCTGAGGATCATGGTTCAAAGCCAACCCTGGGCAGTAAAGTCCAAAAGCCTATCATCTCCAATTAACCACCATAAAACTGGAAGTGGAGCTGTGGCTCAAAGTAGTACAGTGCTAACTTTGAGAAAAAGCTCAGAGACAGTGCCTAGCCTTGAGTTCAGGCCCTACAACTGACCACAGAGAACAAATAAAAAAATAAATGGAGGGCTGGGAAGGTGGCTCAGTGGTAGAGCGCTTGCCTTGCATGCCTGAGGCCCTGGGGGTTCGCTTCCTTAGCACAACATAAGCAAAAAATAAAAAAGCCGGAAGTGGCGCTGTGGCTCAAGTGGTAGAGCGCTAGCCTTGAGCTGAAGAGCTGAGGGACAGTGCCCAGGCCCAGAGTTCAGGCCCCACGACCAGACCCCAAAAATAAATAAATAAATGGGAAAAAAACACTTTAATTTTGGGGTATTTACTCTTAGAGAATCAATTCAAGTTGGATTGTAATACCACATTTCTACAGAAGGTGGCACTATTTACCAAGGTATCCAGTAGAAATGTAAAACTGTTTGATGTGTGTGTGTGTGTGTGTGTGTGTGTGTGTGTGTGTGTGTGTGTAACTGTGTGTAACTGTGTGTGTTGGTACTGGGGCTTGAAGTCAGGACAGAGGCAATTTTCCTCCAAGCATTTTTGCTCTAACCTAGCACTCTACTACTTGAGCCACAGCTCCACTTCTATCTGTTTTCAGTGGTTAAAGACTTAAGTTTAGTTTAACTTAAGTAGTTGCATGGGTTTAGTTTTGTGTTTTGGTTTACTTCTTTTGGTGCTGAGAATGTCATCCAAGGCCTCACTAATGCTAGGCAAGCACTCTACCCCTGAGCTATACACCCTCAGCCTGTCTCCCTCCTTTCTCCCTCCTTCCCCACCCTTCTCTTCTTTTCCTTTTCTTCCTCTCTTTCTCCCTCTTTTTCTTTTCCCTGCCTTCTTTTCTGGAATTTTTTTTTTTTTTTGGGTTCAGTCGTGGGGCCTGAACTCTGGGCCTGGGCGCTGTCCCTCAGCTCTTCAGCTCAAGGCTAGCGCTCTACCATTTGAGTTACAGCACCACTTCCAGCTTTTTTCTTTTTGCTTATGTGGTGCTGAGGAATCGAACCCAGGGCCTCATGCATGCAAGGCAAGTGCTCTACCACTGAGCCATCTTCCCAGCCCTCTTTTCTGGAATTTTGAAACTGATAGGTACAACAAGACAAGACCAACCTCAACTACTTTTTTTTTTTTTTTTTGCTAATCTTGGTGCTCAAACTCGGGGGCCTAAACCCTGCCCCTGAGCTCCTTTTTGCTCAAGTCCTAAAGCTTTACCACTTGAGCCACAACACCACTTCCTGATTTTTCTGAGATTAATTGGAGATAAGAGTTTCACAGACTTTCCTGCCTGGGTTGGCTTCAAATTGCAATCTCTGCCTCCTGAGTAGCTAAGATTACAGGTATAAGCCACCTCTAACTGCTTCAACTTCCTGAGTGCTGGGCCTATAAATACCAAATAACAGTTTTGTTGGTGTCACATTGGTCTGTGACTTGGTATTCCTAGTGTTCTTTCTTGTTACTATATTTTAGATTGCTAGGTTCTTTTGTTTGTGAGTAGGGCTTTAAATTTAGGGCTGTGTGCTAGCTAAGCAAGCATTGTGTTTGAGCCACACCCTCCAGTCCTTTTGCTTTATTATTTAAATAAGATCCTCCTGTTTATGTTTCCTGTGTAGTTAGGCTGAGAGGTTAGGATCTTAAGCCATGATCTCCTCATCTTAGTCTCCTAGGTAGCTAGGGTTACCGGTATGAGTCATTGCACCTAAACCAGATTCTTTTTTGTTGTTGTTACTGTGGTTTGAACTGAGTACCTCTTACTTGGTCAGCTAGCACTCTATTAACTACTCCTCCAATCCCAGATTCTTTTTACTATATGACAATATTACTACTGCATAGATTACCTTCATAGATTTAAGTGATTCCCTATTAATAGACATATCAGTAATTTTTTGATGAACAGCTAATAGACGTTGAAATGTACCTTTGAGTATTACTAAATGTTTTTGTGGTGTCAATTCCTGTAGACAGGATTATAGGGCCAAAAATGGCATACATGTTTATAATTTTAGTAACTATTGCTATATCCTTTTCAAAAGAGGTGGTGTCAATTTATACTTTCACCACAAGAGGGCTTATTTCCCGTGAATATCACCAAAGTTCAGTTTTGTGAGTATGAATGGGTGAACAGATCACTTTTAGTATTTTTCAAGTAGGAATCATTGTATATGTTATGGACCTCTGCTCTTTGTGTTTATTCTCCATTGTCTTATAGGTTATTTTGGAGCCCAAGCTGTAATTAGCAATGTTTGTCACCGATCTTTTCAATTCCAGTTCACATCATATTCTAGATTTTTACCCTTTCTAAGAATATAGGAAAAAAAAAACCTTCCTCCATTTTCTTCCAGTCTGCTTATGGCTTTATTTTTTGCATTTAGATTTAATCCATCTGGAATTTATTTTTATGCATGCTGTGAGGTAGGGACCATACTTTTATTTTTCCCCCAATGGATATGTAGTTGACCAAGCACCACTTATTGAATAATTCATATTTTTTGTACTGACTCAAAATGCCATCTTTATCACACACTAAATCCTCATATTACTGGGTCTGTTTCTGGGCTTTACTTTGTTCCTTGATGTTTGTCAATTACTGTGCTGGTACCATGCCATCATAATTACTGTAGCTTCATGGTATGGCTTGCTTTCTGTTAGGGAAGGCTCAGGCTGTTAACTCACCTGTCTTCACCCAGTTTTTAGTCTTGAATCCAGAACGTCCAAATTACCCTTATTACCACCAAAACTCCAGTGGATGTTAAGCATTCCCCTTTGAAACTCCTGTAAGGGTTTCTGTTGGGTTCCATGGTAGCAGAAAAATTTGAGAGCTAGCAAGGTATACCTTTTATAGGATTACTGATCAGACCTGGTTTCTCAGACAGTGCTGAGATTACCTGGGCCTGGGCCAGACTTTTGAAGGACTTATCCTTGGGGTTGGAGGTAATATAGACTAGTCTTTACAACTTGTTTGTCACATGGGAATGGTACAGGGCCAGAACCAGACACCTGTCATGCTAATAACTTTCTTTGTGGTTCAGAAGTGACTGTAACTGATGATTGGTGGCTTCAGTAATACTTCCCACTCAGAAAATGGGTGTGCTCTATTTTTAGGACTCTCATTTTTACTAATCTCTACTTGAAAGTTATTTAGCTCATTTTTAGAAATATCTCTTATAATTCCTATTGTGTAAAATATAATATTGTAGACATTAGATAGCTAACTTCTTAAATCTTCTAGTTTTAGTGCCTTGTGTATACATAAGGATGTACATATATATGATATTTTTTTTCTTAATTAGAATGACCAGTCAACAGGAGACATAAAAGTCATCGGTGGAGATGATCTCTCAGCTTTAACTGGAAAGGTATGTGTCTGGAAGGGAAAGGAAAGAGAACTTTATATCACTATACTTGTAATCAGCCACTAAGAGGCAGTTTATGTTGTATAACTCAATAATGGTTATTTAGTCTTTGGAAATACTCAGAATTCATTACATTTCCCTAGGTCATATACTAAAAAGAAGAGTTCAACAGTTTGCTAATACAAGTGGAGGAAAGAGAGCTATCTTAAAAAATACACAATGCCAGGTGCTGGTGGCTCATGCCTGTAACCCTCGCTACTTTGGAGGCTGAGATCTGAAGATGCCAGTTGAAAGCCAGCTCAGACAGGAAAATCTGTGAGACTCTTATTATCTTCAGTAAACCAACCCAAATCCAAAAGTGGTGCTGTGTCTCAAGTGGGAAAGCACTAGGCTTGAGCAAAAGCTCAGGGACAGTGCTCAGGCCCTGAGTTTGAGCCCCAGGATCCGGACCAAAAAAAAAAAAAAAAAGACATCCACAACTTCTGTAGAAGCAATAGAGTGTAGCAGCTGAAAGTCTGGAGTCTGATGGCTTTAATTGAAAACCTTCCTAACTCTGCCATACTGGACAGGTTTGTTAATCTCTGGGTCTCAGAGGGGTCCCAGTAGAATAGGGGTGATAATGGCACCTAACTCACAGGGTTGAGGATTAAGTGATAATACATGTAATGATCTTATATTTTTAAATATGCATTTAATTTTAATTATTTTTATTATCCTAAAGTAGTTGTACGAAGACATTTTAACACAATTAGGTGATGTAATACAAGTAGAGATATTAAGAAAGTTTTTTTTCCTGTTCCTGAGGCTTGAACTCAGGGTCTGGGCGCTGTCTCTTGAGCTTCTTTTTCTTTTTTTTTGGTCAGTCATGGGGCCTGAACTCTGGGCCTGGGACTGTCCCTCAGCTCTTCATCTCAAGGCTAGCGCTCTACCACTTGAGCCACAGCACCACTTCCCGCTTTTTCTGCTTATATGGTGCTGAGGAGTGGAATGCAGGGCCTCATGCATGTGAGGCAAGCACTCTACCACTGAACCACCTTCCCAGCCCTCTGAACTTCTTTGTGCTCAAGGTTAGCACTCTATTTGAGCCAAAGGTCCACTTCCTGCTTTTTCTGAGTAGTTTATTGGAGATAAGAGTCTCACAGACTTTCCTGTCCAGGTTGGCTTTGAATCTCAGATCTCAGCCTTCTGAATAGCTAGGATTATAAGCATGAGCCACTGGCACCCAGCTCAAGACAGGTTTTTTGTTGTTGTTGTTTTGGGGTTTTTGGTTGATCATGGAGCTTTAACTCAGCCTGGGTGCTGTTCCTGAGCTCTTTTGCTCAGTGCTAGCGCTCTACAATTTTGAGTCTAATCTCCACTTCTAGTTTTCTGGTGATTAATTGGAGATAAGAGTCAAGGACTTTACTGCGTATGTTGTGGTAGCGTAATTTGAACTCAGAGCTTTTCTCTTGTAAGGTAGGCATTCTACAACTTGAGCCACTTTTCCAACCCTTTTATCTAGAGGTATTTTTTTTTTTACCAGTCCTGAATTCAGGGCCTGGACACTGTCCCTAGGCTAGCCCTCTACCACTTGAGCCACAACACTGTCCTTGGGCTACAACTGTCCCTGAGCTGCTTTTGCTCAGAGCTAGCACTCTACCACTTTGAGCCTAAGCTCCACTTCTGTTTTGTTTTGTTTTGTTTTTTGCTGCTTAATTAGAGGAACGAATCTTATGGATCTTACTGCCTGAGCTGGCTTTGAACCTCAGTCCTCAGATCTAAGATTCCTGAGTGGTCAGGATTGTAGGCGTGAGTCACTGACACCTGGTTTACACTGAAATTTTTTTTTGAGAAATCAGTGATAAATGATGGAATATTGCTTTTCTCTTTGATATCAGTTATCATTTACTTGCAGACACTGCCAAGTAAATATAAAGAGATTGATCTTTTAATAAAAGTCTCAACACTGCAGTGAGGGAGATTATATCCCCATCTTGTATATCAGAAAATTAAGGAACAGAAGTATTCTTTGTAAAACAGCATGGAATTATGATACACCAAAACTCTCCATAGTCCCCTAAGTCACATAACTAGTAAGTGGGATAGCTTTAATTTAAAGACGGACACCAAAGCTCCTTTCTTCTTTTGGCTTTTAGATCTTAGTGTTCACTTCTGTTTAACTGAGTGTAAGAAAAGTTAAATGAAAATGATTGTGCAAAATTCTCTGCTCATCAACATCCTCAGAGGAGAAATGTGTGTGACTGATAGAGCCTTCTGCACTTTGAGCACTCTGTCCATACTTAGACGCTATTTGAAGCCCTTATGATAATACTAGTTTCTAAATCTCTGCTTTGAAAATAACTTTTTGCATGTGCTGGTACTCTAGCCTTGTGCTCTCAGAACTCAGCTTATTTGCTTGGCTAGCACAGTACTACTTGGGCAATGCCTTCAACTTGGCTTTTTGCTGGCTATTTTGGAGATGGAGTCTTCAAGACTTGTCTTGGACTGGCTTCAAACCATGATCTCAGCTTCCTGAGTGGCTATGATTATAGGCATAAATCCCTGGCACCTGGCTCAAAAATAATTTATCATCACAGTAGAGCACATTTATTGTGGTAAGATTATAGGGTCATTCAAAACTTCATTTTTTCTTTTATGGAGACTTAAGTGTGTACATGTTTACACACACATGTAAATATTCTCCTCAGTTAATGTCTAAAAATTTGCACTTTTTTTGTATGTTCCAGTACTGGGGCTTGAACTCGGGTTGAGTCCCTGAGCTTTTCACTCAAGGCTAATACTCTACCACTTGAGCCACAGTGCCACTTCTGGATCTTTTGGCTTAGAATCCTTAGATCTCAGCCTCCTGCTTAGGAATATAGGTGTGAGCTACCAGTACCCAGCTCAAAATTTCTCATTTTACATATGGAAACTGAGGCACAGAAAATCCATGACTTCCTTAAGTAATTTAAACAACTTTCAAGAACAAAGCCATGAGTCAACTTTTTATTTTAGAAAATCTTAGTACTAAGGACATCCAGTGCCAACAGACAATTTGATTGTTTCAACCAGGGTTTGCTTTGTAAAGTTTCTAAAAACAAGAATTTGAATGACTTCCTTAGAGCTTTTTATGATGTGATTTCCACTGACTATTTGAAATACTATGGCCAAATGTACTGATACTCATTTTTCTTTTTCTCCTAGAATGTCTTGATTGTTGAAGTAAGTTCTACATTTACTTTTAATATGGTATTTATGACTTTTCTATCTTAATTGCTCTATCCTAAAGGTAAGCCAGGAAAAGAAATGCGTCTTTATCAGTTTTATAGTGGGCTGTGTTTTGTAAAAACTACTTAGTGAAGCTGGGCCAGGCTGGAGGAGAGGAATCTCTAATCCTAGTTCCCAGGAGACTTGAGCAGGAGGATCTCAAAGGTGAGGGCAGCCTGGGCTACATAGATAGGTACTGTCTCAAAAAATAAAAATAAAAAAAATTGCTTTTACAGATAATGGAAAAGTTGTGGTATATTTCCTACTATATGTGTATATGTTTAATTCAGTGCCTTGCTTTTGGTTTTTTGAAATATAAAATTATTCTATTTGAAATTTATTTATATTTCCATATAAATACCATTTTATGTTAAAAATAGAATATTTAAAATATGCTATTTTCAACTGTTTATTATGTTCTTAAAGTTGATTCTCTTTTTTTTTTGCTGGTCCTGGGACTTGAACTCTGGACCTAGGCGTTGTACTTGAGCTATTTTCCCCTGGTCACTTATCACTGCTTAGCAGTGTATTATATACTTTGTCTGATCTCCCTATTGTTACTGAACTCTACAAATGCTAAAGCCTCCTGTAGCAATTTAGAAATTTAGATTATACCTCATGTTCAGACTCTATCCTCCTTCCTTTTTAAAAGGTTTTTGTGTGTTCTGGTATTGGGGCTTGATCTCAGGACTTTGTATTCTCTGGTGTTTTTTTTTTTGTCGTGGGGCTTCAACTCTGGGCTTGGGCACTGTCCTTGTGCTCTTCAGCTCAAGGTGAGCGCTCTACCGCTTGAGCCATAGTGCCACTTCCGGTTTTCTAGCAGTTTATTGGAGATAAGAATCTCACGAACTTTTCTGCCCTGGCTGGCTTTGAACCACGATCCTCAGATCTCAGCCTCCTGAGTAGCTAGGATTACAGGCGTGAGCCACCAGCGCCCGGCTATTCTCTGCTTTTTTGATCACATGACAATCTACCACTTGAGCCACACCTCTAGACTGGCACTTGGTTTTTAATTAGAGATGAGTACCATAAACTTTTCTGCCTAGGCTAGCTTTTAACAGTGATCCTCCTGCTATTCTCAGCCTCTAAGTAGCTAGAATTATGGACAGTAGCCACTGGAATTTAGCTATTATGAAATAATTTGGACTCAGAGAAAGACATGTTCAACACACACATACCCACCAGAAAATAATATCATTTTGCCAAATTAGCTTCAGATCTCTTTTTTTGTGCCTGGTTTTGGACTTGAACTCAGGGCCTGGGCACTGTCCCTGACCTTTTTTTGTTGCTCAAGTTTAGTGCTCTACCACTTGCGCCACAGCTTCACTTCTCGATTTTTTTTTTTTTTGGTGGTTAATTGGAGATAAGAATCTCAACAGTCCTTGTTGCCTGGACTGGCTTTGAACTGTGATCTTCAGATCTCAGCCTTCTGAGTAGCTAGGATTACAGGCGTGAGCCACCAGCGCCTGGCTGTTTTAACATTCTTTTTTAAAGAATTTTATTATATAGGTGATATAAAGAGGGGTTACCATTTCTTAAGTCAGGTAATGAGTGTTTTAACATTCTTTCTTTTGGGGGGGATCATGGAACTTGAACTCAGGGCCTGGGAACTGCCCCTGAGCTGTTTTCACTCATGGTTGGAACTGTTAACACTTTGAGTCACAGTTTTCTGGTGATTAATTGGACATGAGAGTCTCATGGACTTTCCTGCCTGGGCTGGCTTTGAACCACAATCCTCAGTTCTCAGCTTCCTAGATATCTAGGAATGTATCTGTGATGTGAGTCACAGACACCCAGCTGCTTTAGCTTTTTTTAATCTGTGGGTCCTGGGGTTTGAACTCAGCCTGGATGTTGTCCCTGAGCTTCTTTGTGCTCAAGGCTAATGTTCTTCCACTTGAACCACTGCACCACTTCCGTGTTTTCTTAGAGTGTTTTCAGTGAAGAGCATCAGGGTTGTGATTTAAGGTAGAGGTAGAAAACCTTTCTTCTGCTGAGGGCCATTTGGATATTTGTAACATCAGTCACAGACATCAGTACAGGCAAAAGAGCCTCAAGAGGCGAAGGAAAAATGCACAGTAGCATACACAAATCTGTCCCATCATGTACCAAATGATTTTAAAGAATGGGCAGACATCTCCCACTCCTGGTTTTAAGGGAGGTAGTTTTTTTTTTTTATAATATCCTACTTTTGATTCAGTGGCCCAGATTTCACTTTAAAGTCATATTATTTAGGAAAACCATATTAATTTGGATACTTTTAAAGATGATACAAAGCAATATTTCTGAAAGTGTGTCCTATTAACCAAATACAAAGATTTGGTTTCTTTTTTTTTGGTCCGGTTGTGGGCCTGAACTCTGGGCCTGGGTGCTGTCCCTCAGCTCTTCATCTCAAAGCTAGCACTCTACCACTTGAGCCACAGCGCCACTTCCAGCTTTTTTCTTTTTGCTTATGTGGTGCTAAGGAATCGAACCCAGGGCCTCATGCATGCAAGGCAAGCACTCTACCACGGAGCCACCTTCCCAGCCCCCTAAATACAAAGATTTGGGAAGGAGAGAATCCCTGTCTTGAATTTGGGAAGAAAAATGTAAAATTCCTTTTGTAAAGAAGAGCACAAGCTGGGTGCTTGGTGGCTCATGCCTGTAATCCTACTCAGGAGGCTGAGGTCTGAGGATCATGAGTCACATCCTGCTGGGTCAGGAAAGGCTGTAAGACTCTTATAGCAAATTAAGCACCAGAAAACCAGAAGTAGAGCTATGGCTTAATGTGGTAGAGCATTAGCCTTGAGCAGAAAAGCTCAGGGACAGTTCCCAGGCCCTGAGTTCAAGCCCCATGACTGACCAAAACAAAACAAAAAAACAAGTGATCAAGTCAGGTACCAATGGCTCATGCCTGTAATCCTTGCTGTTCAGGAGGCTGAGATCTGAGGGTTACAGTTAAAAGCCAGCCTAAGCAGACAAAAATCCATGAGACTCTTTTTTTGGGGGGGGGGGGGTCGGTCGTGGGGCTTGAACTCTGGGCTTGGGCACTGTCCCTGTGCTCTTTAGCTCAAGGAGAGTGCTCTACCACTTGAGCCACAGTGCCACTTCCGGTTTTCTAGTGGTTTATTGGAGATAAGAGTCTCATGGACTTTCCTGCTTGGGCTGGCTTTGAACTGCAGTCTTCAGATCTTAGCCTCCTGAGTAGCTAGGATTCCAGGCATGAGCCACCATGCCTGGCTCTTTTTTTTTTTAATTGTGAAAATACCGTACAGAGGGGTTACAATTACATGGGCAAGGTAATGAGTGCATTTCTTATCAAGCATTGTTGCCTCCTCCTTTGTTTCCCCTTCCCATCCCTTTCCATCTCCCCCCCCCCCCCCCAAAACGCCAAAATTGTTAAGTTCATTTTTGACATAATATCTTGTATATCTCATTGGTGCAATGGGTCCACCTGTATCCCTATTTAACAATTAACCACCAAAAAGTCAGAAGTGGAGCTGTGAGTCAAGTGGTAGAGTGAGTGCCAGCCCTTGAGTGAAAGAAAGATAAGAAACACTGACTATACCCTGAGTTCAAGCACTAGGACTGGCACAAAAGAAACAGAAATAGAGGGCAGCACACCTTTCTAAGATGATCACAAATTTAAGACCAGTGTAGGATGCATAGCAAGATCTTGTCTCAAAAAATGCAGATGTAGATGATATTTACCTGTATATAATTAAGTTTGCTGTTCTTGACACTTCTGTGCCTAGAAAAGTCTAGTACTAAGGACTGGCAGTCTCAAGTACTTGCTAAGTAAGGCTAACATGCTTTACTGACTAACCAGAGTATGTGAATTTTGATGAGAACTACTACACTGAAAAAAATGACATCGTGCCGGTAGAAAATGTCTGAATATTGAAGTTTCGGTATTGTATGTTTGTATAGTGGCAGTGAATGTAAAACAATGCTATCTTATCTATCATTTAAGTGTCTTTTCTGTTTTTAAAGGATATAATTGACACTGGCAAAACAATGCAGACCTTGCTTTCCTTGGTGAAGCAACATAACCCAAAAATGGTCAAGGTCGCAAGGTATGTATTACCTTTTAAATAATGCTTTCTGGACTAGAAATGTGGCTTAATGGTAGAGTGCTTGCCTAGCATGCATGAAGCCCTGGGTTTGATCCCTCAGTACCACATGAATAGAAAAGGCCAGAAATAGCTCTGTAGCTCAAGTGGTAGAGCGCTAGCACAGAGAGGGCCTCAGTCTAGGCCTTGAGTTCACACCCCAGGACTGGCAAAAAAAAAAAAGAGAAAGAAATAATGCTTTCTTCATTTGGAAGATTAATTAGGCAATTGTTTCTTTGTAAAGATATTACTGTCAGCTGTCATTTTAAGAAGTAGTATGATCTCAAATGAAACTGAGAAAATAGCCTTCGTAAAACTTTGCAGTCACATTTGTCCCTCTATATGGGAGGTGGGAGTTTACTGGATCTAATAGTCTCACAAACGCCAAACTCCCCAGATGTTCATATTTTTGATACACAATAAGGGATTATGTGATAGTATTTGAATAGAACCAGTCCATATCCTCCCATATACTTTGCATCCTCTCTTGATTACTTATAAAACACAATGTAAATATTATGCAAATAGTTATGCTGTATTATTTAGAGAATAATGATAAGGGTACAATCTGTATCTGATCAGTACCTACACAATATTTTTAGGATATTTTTATCTGCTTTTAAGTTTGTAGATGTAGAACTCCCAGATAGAGCCAATTGTAGTATTAACATCTGGTTTCTCAGCATACTAATTATATTAACTTGTCCTGAGTAGCGTGGCAGAGACTTGGAGGATCCTTACAAAATCAAGAGAAAGCTCTCAGGGCTGGGAGGGTGGCTCAGTGGTAGAGCGCTTGCCTTGCGTGCCTGAGGCCCTGGGTTCGATTCCTCAGCACCACATAAGCAAAAAGGAAAAAGCCGGAAGTGGCGCTGTGGCTCAAGTGGTAGAGTGCTAGCCTTGAGCTGAAGAGCTGAGGGACAGCGCCCAAGCCCAGAGTTCAGGCCCCAAGACCGGACCCCCCTCCCCCAAAAGAAAAAAAGAGAGAAAGCTCTCATAGGGAAGGTGATGAAGTGATAAGAAGGGGTGTGGCCTAAACATCTGGATCTGCTGGATCAGTGATAACACTGTCTTGTTTGGTGTCCACAATTGAAGTTTTATGGTCCCTTACCTCTTGGTTATACCTGGCTTTTTACTTTTATGTTTTAGTGTCTGTACCTAGTTATAGTTTCATCCTCCACAACTCAGGGATAAATTGTTAATCCTACTTCATGAATAAGGACTGAGGTGTAGGCAACTGCCTAAAGACACAGCAAGCTATGGAGATGAAATCTGAAATCAAGGAACTTGTCTTAGTTAGTGCTTTTGCCACTTGTTTTGTGTTTTTGTTTATATGTGTTTAAAGTTTCACAACTGCATTTTAAATCATTTTCCAATTTATGATTTTTGTGTAGTGGGATTAGCTATTCCTGTTATTTTTTTTTCATGCCAGTACTGGGCCTTACTCTGGCTTGGCTTTTCTGCTCAAGGCTGGTGCTCTACCACTTGATGAATACTTCCACTTCCAGGTTTTTGATTGTTAATTGGAGATGTGTCTCACAGACTTTACTGACCAAGCTTGATCCTCAGACCTCAGCCTCCTGAGTAACTATGTTTGCAGGCATGAGCCACAGTAGCTTGGCTAATTAGTTGATTTTTATAAACCTCTTCTAAAGAGTCAAAGTATCTATCTAATGTCTGACTCAGAATAAAACAATGAGAGTTGGCAGACAGTCAACTCTCAGTCTGTTCTTACGGGCTTTTCTGATAGCTGGTACAAGTGTACGTCATTGAGATTTTATGTTACTGGAAATTTGATATCCTGAAATACTCTGAGTAATGTAGTTGGCATGGATCAGTATCTTTTGAACTTTTTTCCTAATCTTCTGCCCCACTATGAAACTTTAATATAACAGATATTTTGTATATATTTTAAGTTTGACATGAGTTATTTTGTATATCTGTGCTTATTTTTTTATTCAGTGAAGGGTTTAGAATGACTAATTAAACTTTTTTTTCCTGGTCTTAGGGCTTGAACTCAGGGCCTGGGTGCTATCCCTGGTTTGTTCAAGGCTAGCACCCAACCACTTGAGCCACAGTTTGGTACTTAATTGGAGATGAGAGTCTTTACATATGTTCCTGCCCAGGCTGGCTTTGAACTGAGATCCTCAAATCTCAGCCTACTGAGTAGCTAGGATTATAGGCATGAGCCACTGACACCTGGCTTTAAAATGTTCTGTCTGTGTGCTGAAGTGCTCTGAGTTCAATACTACTACCACCAAATAACTAAATGACACACTTAAACACAGGCACAAAGCCCTATTATCTGATATGAATGTAAAATGATACAGCCCACTTTGGAACACACAAAGAGCATTAAAAAAAAAACCACAAAACTTAATATGGCTGGGCACCGTGGCTCATGCTTGCCATCCTAGCTACTAAAAAGGCTGATAATCTGAGGTCTGTGGTTTAAAGCTAGCCCAAGCAGGAAAATGTTTGAGAGACTCCCATCTTTGATTAGTCAGCAAAAATCCCGAAGTGGAAGTATGGCTCAAGTGGTAGTGTGCTGGTCCCAGCAAGCTTGAGACCCTGAGTTCAAATCCTATTACTCCTAAAGACAAAACAAAAATAAGCCCTAATTATGTAACTACAGTAAGACTCCAGAAGTTGTACTACCGATGATTTACTTTAGAGAAGTAAAAATGTATGTCCACATAAAATTCTGAACATATTTACGCTAGCATCATTTGGGCGGGGGGAGGGGATCTGGTCTTGGGGCCTGAACTGAACTCTGGGCCTGGGCACTGTCCCTCAGCTCTTCAGCTCAAGGCTAATGCTCTACCACTTGAGCCACAGCGCCACTTCTGGCTTTTATCTTTTTTGCTTATGTGGTGCTGAGGTATCGAACCCAGGGCCTCATGCATGCAAGGCAAGCGCTCTACCACTGAGCCACCTTCCCAGCCTTACGCTAGCATCATTTGTGATAGCCCCAGACTAATAGCAACCCAAATATCTTCTGTAAGTAAATGACTAAATAACTGTGCTTATATACCCCTACCATCACACTCAGCAATAAACAGGAGCCAACTGTTGATGGCCTTAAGGAAATGTTGCCAGTGAAAGTCATCAGAAAGGTACATACTGTGTGATTTCCCACATACTCAACATTCTTGAGATGACAAACTTACAGAGATGCAGAATATACTAGTAGTCACCAAGGGAGCTGTGTGATGCCAGTAGTGATAGTGGTAGTGATTTCTTAAATCCACCATAGGATACTGTTGTCTAAAATCATACACAAACATGTAGACCTGCATGGGAACATGCATGTAAGATTGGGGAATCTAGATGAAGCCAATTAGTTCACTAATATCCTTGTCTTGGTTGTGATGATTGACTGTAGTCAGGCAAGTTGTTGCTGTTGGAAGAAATTGCATTGAATGGGGGGAACCACCTTTTGTTGTTGTTTTTTGTGACTTCCTATGAAAATTAAAATTTTGAATAAAGTTATCAACATTGAGCTATACTTACTGAGTCACCTTTAGTGTAACTTACATAAATTGTATCAAGTCACATATACAAAATAGTGATTTTTATAAATAATAATAGTATAGTCAGTTCAGAAGAAAAAAATCGCTCAAAACATGTTTCTAGCAAGAACAAAACAATTGAAAACTTAACAATGAACTTTTAGGCCAAGGGTTAGCTCAGTGGTGGTTCCTGCTTAGCACGAGCAAAGGCCTTAAGTTCCAAAAAAAAAAAAAGTTCCAGCTGGGTGCCAGTGGCTCACACTTATAATTCTAGATGTCTAGGAAGCTGAGAAGTAAGGATTGTGGTTCAAAGCCAGCCTGGGAAGGAAACTCTCAGACTCTTACCTCGAACCACCAAAAATCCCAAAGTAAAACTGTGGCCCAAGTGGTAGAGCACGAGCTTTGAGCACACAAAAGCTCAGGGACAGCACCCAGGCTCCTGAGTTCAAGCCCCAGGATCAGCAGGTGCACAAAAACAAATTAGGGATTGGAGGCATGGTTCGGGTGGTAGAGTGCCAGCTAGTGAGTGAAACCATCAGATACCAAGTTTGAGTCCTGCTCTTGGTGGGGGGGAAAGTTAATTCTTTCAACACACTGATTTGTTTAGCCTGCAGTTGTCTTCATAAGCCAAATATTAGAAGTCTTTCCCACGTGTTTTACAACTTTAGTGATTGTATTTCCGGGGATTTTCAACCATCTTTGCTCATCAGTGCTTCATCCTTCAGATTACCTGCCATTGATGTAGCTCAAGACTACCCTTCAGACCCAGGTAGAGGGCAGTGAAAGGCCTTGTGTGTATGAGAACTCATTGCTGCCCCTTGCTAGGAATGCCTATGATTTACTTCTCTATTTCAGGCTTTTTTTTCCGAAGCATTAAACTAATAACCCTGGCATACTGCATACACTTTTTTGTGTGTGTCGGTCCTGGGGCTTGAAGTCAAGGCCAGGGTCCTATTCTTGATTTCTTCAAAGCCAGTGCTCTGCCACTTTAGCCACAGCTCCATTTCCAGCTTTTTGTTAGTTAATTGGAGATAAGAGTCTTCACCAGGGCATGGCTTGATGATCAGCTCAATGAAATATCATTTAGGAACATGCTTGTTTTCTTTTGTTGCACCCTGTAGTCTTTCCATATGTTACACATGTTGTATTTTGTAATTAACAGCTTGCTGGTGAAAAGGACCTCTCGAAGTGTTGGATATAGGCCAGACTGTAAGTACATTGCTTTTTACTAATCATTTACTCATCATTTTTTTTTTTTTTTTTGGTCAGTCATGGAGCTTGAACTCTGGGCCTGGGCTCTGTCCATCAGCTCTTCAGTTCAAGGCCAGCTCTCTACCACTTGAGCCACAGCGCCACTTCCGGTTTTCTAGTGCTTTATTGGAGATAAGAGTCTCATGGACTTTCCTGCCCAGGCTGGTTTTGAACCGTCATCCTCAGATCTCACCCTCCTGAGTAGCTAGGATTACAGGCGTAAGCCACCAGTGCCAGGCTCATTTACTCATCTTTTTTTTTTTTTTTTTTTTTTTTGTCGGTCATGGGGCTTGAACTCTGGGCTTGGGCGCTGTCCCTGGGCTCTTCAGCTCAAGGCGAGCACTCTACCACGTGAGCCACAGCACCACTTCCGGTTTTCTAGTGGTTTATTGGAGATAAGAGTCTCACGGACTTTTCTGCCAGGGCTGGCTTTGAACCACAATCCTCAGATCTCAGCCTCCTGAGTAGCTAGGATTCCAGGCGTGAGCCTCATCTTTAACCTAAAAAGGTTTATGTGAAATGGCTTAGAGCTACTTCAGAGAATATTTGTAAAGAAGGCACATTTGCAAGTATTAGATATGAAAGTAATGCTTTCTGTATCTAATGATAACTTGAGATTTTTTTTTTCAGTTGTTGGTTTTGAAATTCCAGACAAGTTTGTTGTGGGATATGCCCTTGATTATAATGAATACTTCAGGGATTTGAATGTAAGTAGTGCTTCTTTTTCTTGCTTTCATTTTTCAAAACCCACATAAAAATTTAGGGAAGGGAAGAATTGTTTTCTCCTTTCCAGCACCTCATAATTTGACCAGACTGATGGTTCCCATTAGTCACATAAAGCAGTAGTCAAGTACAGACGTCCCTAGAACTGGAGCTTCGCCAGGCTAGTATGACACTTCTTGCTGGCTAAAAATAGTTGAACAGCTTTAAGATACAATAACTATCTCATTACCGTTTTCGATGATAAATAGGTTCATTGAAAGAAATGATAGAGTTTGAGGCTTTTAATTCGGCTCTGCTTTAAATTCCCACCTCCCACTCTAGAGGCAGAAGAGTCTAGTGCATGTGCTTATGAACGTGGGTATGTTTGTCAACTTGGTATATTGGTGTGAACATGGGTGAGTGTGATATATTGGTGAACATGGGTGTTGTGTGGCCATGGAGTGTTTATGAATGTGAGTGGATGTGTTTGAGTTTTGAGTGTGATATACTTGTGAACACGAGTGAATGTGAGCATGGTAGGTGTTTGGGAACATGGGTGAGGAGGATTTAGGAAGACCACCCTGAGAATGCCATCTCTAGCAGCTTTCTCCATCTTGCTGAACTCCCTACTGTATGCCCATTCTAATAGGACCTAGAATTCTCTGCTGTATTTCTTTTTCACAGTTACATACTTGGGAATCCAAAAGCAAACTAATGGGACAAACTATTTATTTCTCAAAACACATTCTCTCCAGAAGTGACTGGCTGGGAGTCCAAGTATTGCATCTGTTTGTTTAGTACAATCAGGGCAGCATAATACTATTCTAACAAGATAGGCAAAATGCTGTCCTGGCCTTTTGATTTCACAGTACACTCTTCTAATCTGAGTTTCTGCGGTTTTATTTTATAGCATGTTTGTGTCATTAGTGAAACTGGAAAAGCCAAGTACAAAGCTTAAGACGAGTGTTCAAGTGGAGTCTGGAAACATGAAGAGTCCCATTGACGTCATCAGATGTTCCTAGTTCCGTGGCCATCTGCTTAGTAAAGCTTTTTGCATGAACCTTCTAAGAATTTTATCTGTTTTGTATTTTAGAAATGTCAGTTGCTGCATTCTTAAACTTTTTATTTGCACTATGAGCCTATAGGCAGATTACCAGTTCCCAATGGGTAGATTGTTTAACTTGCGGATGGAAAAGTCTCTTAAACCACACCACTGTTAAATGATAATATTGAAATTGTATCTGTAAGAAGCATTTAAAAAGAAGATATATTAGTTTTTTAATTGGTATTTTAATTTTTATATATTTGGGGGAAAATGGAGGTGATTGACTATTGTTAATTGTACCACCGTGCATTTGGAACAGTCAGAGACAGTCAGTTCTCACCAGTAACAGCAGCCTGTTCAGTAGTAGTGACAATGTTGGCTCACTTGCTCAGATTGTTTCTGTGAATCTTGTCAACAGTTCCTTTCAAATGCAAATAAATAAAGTTCAAAAAATTACTACTTTTTGAACTCTCAAATGTAAAAGTCCTGAAAAATAAGAACTGTTCTCCTCCAAAGAAGCTATGCATGCCTACCATTTCCATCTACAAACTAACAATATATTTTTCCATTGGTTTCTATTTATTATCTTTTCCTTCCATTTTAGTAACAGGTTTAAATTATAGTCTTTACCAAGCACAGCAAATAATTATCTGGTAAACTGAAATGATGGAGCTAGCAAAGTTCCTATGTAATTCAGAGATATAGTATACATTTTAGGCACATGGCATACTGTTTTCGGTGCCAGTCCTGGGGCTTGAACTCAGGGTCTGGGTGCTGTCCCTAAGCTCTTTTGCTCAAGGCTAGAGCACTGCTGACTGTTTTGGTGTTTAATTGGTGATGAGCCTTATGGACTTTCCTGCCCAGACTGGCTTTGAACTGTGATTCTCATACCTTAGCCTCCTGAGAAACTAGGTTTGCAGGCCTGAGCCATTGGTACCCAGCTACACATGACACACTTTATGTTAAAAGAACACAGCTTTCTCTTGGAATCTGTGAAGTTATTCAGAACGTAATGCCAGCTACATCTCAACAGATTATTTTGGATGTGGGTGTCCTCTTACCTCTGCATAGACAATGCTTCCTTGACCAAAGAACAACCCCCCCCCCCATTTTTTTATTCTCTAGAAGCAAGAGAAAAGTTTTTAAAACAAAAGTCTTAAGTTGCTTTCCTGTATTTCTTTTTGGTGAGGTATGAGCTAGCACCTTTGTGAGCAATTTCCCTGTATTTCTTTCAAAGTTCTATATAAGCCGGACACTGGTGCCACCTAACTACTCAGGAGGTTGAGATCTGAGACTCATGGTTTGAAGCCAACTTGGCCAGGATAAGTCTGTTAGATTCTATGTCCAATAAACTACTACTAAGAAAAAACAAAAACTAGAAGTGACACAATTGATAGAGCTAGTGCTCTACCTTGAGCAAATAAAGCTCAGGGATAATGCCTAGGCCTTGAGTTCAAGCCTCAGGACCAGCACCATAAAAAGTCTGAATATTAATATTCCAGTCTTAGAACTTCCTAGTTTAGGGCTGGGAAGGTGGCTCAGTGGTAGAGTGCTTGCCTTGCATGCAAGAGTCCCTGGGTTCAATTCCCCAGCACCACATAAGCAAAAAGAAGAAAAGCCGGAAGTAGCGCTGTGGCTCAAGTGGTAGAGTGGTAGCCTTGAGCTGAAGAGCTGAGGGACAGTGCCCATGCCCAGAGTTCAGGCCCCACAACTGGACCCAAAAAAAAAAAAAAAAAAAAGAACTTCCTAGTTTATGAACATCTCATTTTTTTGGTCTCATTTGGTCTTTAAACCTGCTATTACCGCATGTGAGTGCAATAGCCAGAATTAGGCCTAAGTCTTGCCCCACAAAATATCTGCCCACTGAGATCTGTTTACCTGGCTATCTTAGATGCTGCTGCACCCTGCTTGCACTATTGACACTCCTTTATTTGGTGGTATTGGAATTTGAACTTAGGGTCTGTCAAGCCCTCTACCACTTGAACCACACATTCCAATTATTTTTTTTCTCCTAGAATTCTCAGTCTTGTGCTTTTGTATTGTGGGTCCTGTGCATAAACGTACCTATGCCTACTGTGTAGTGAGGATTACAGGTTTTACTACAATGCCCAGCTTACTGGTTGAGTTGGAGGTCTGCCAAGTTGTTGGGGTTCTAGGTATGTGCCACCAGAAAGTTCTTTCTTTTTTTTTGGGTCCGGTCGTGGGACCTGAACTCTGGGCCTGGGCGCTGTCCCTCAGCTCTTCAGCTCGAGGCTAGCGCTCTACCACTTGAGCCATAGCGCCACTTCCGGCTTTTTTCTTTTTGCTTATGTGGTGCTGAGGAATCGAACCCAGGGCCTCAGGAATGCAAAGCAAGCACTCTACCACTGAGCCAACTTCCCAGCCCAGAAAGTTCTTTCTTTAAGCCCCATCTCAAATGGAAAACACTGAGCATAGTGGTGTACTCCTGTCATCCCAGCTAAAATGGGATTGAGATCCAAACCAACCTGTGCAAAAAATGAGAACCTATCTCAAAAATGACCAGAGTAGAGCCAGTTGTTAGTGGCTTGTAGCTGAGGAGGCCAAGATGTGGGTCATGGTTCGAAGCCAGCCTGGGCAGGAAAGTTTGTGAGAATCATCTAATTAACCATGAAAATGCCAAAGATGGAGCAGTGACCCAAGAGTAGACCAGTGGGGCCCTCAGTTCAAACACAAGTAAAAAGTGCTGAGGATCTGATTCAAGCAGAAGGGTGCCTGCCTATTGAGGACAAAGCCCTGTGCTCTGCCAAAACAGATTTTCTTTTTCATTTAAGTTGACTTAGGAAATAGAGAAATATCCTATCATTTTAAGAATACCACTGTCCAAGAAGGAATTTGGGTTTAGTAGCCTGGGAAATAAGTGTGTTGAACACTTTTTACACTCCTGTACTGTCATGTACTATGATGCTTAGAATCTAAATGTTGCTAGGTCTCCCTTTTTTAATTGTATATATCAAATGTTTGTAGGTAACTAGCCTACTGCTCTACAATAGCTGGGAAACTTAAAGTCCTATGCATTTGAGATTCTAGAAACACTCAAACCTCACCCCTTGTGTCTCTAGGGTCTTGTGAAGCTACAGTTCTACTTGTAGAAAGAAAGACAACAAGATAAATTTAAATAGTGATAAGCTGTGAAGAAAGTACAATGTGCCAGGGCCCCCAGTCTTTAGCATGGTTAGGGAATGTCACCATAGAGCTGAGAAAAAAAAATGGAGGAAGCAGCCCTGGGGAAACTTGGGAGTGCATTCCTTGCAGTAGAAATTGCAGTACAAAAGGACCTGAGATGGAGACCAGCCATCTGAGGTGCTTGAGGTAGAGGTGTCAGCTGTCATTCCAGTGACCTTGAGGCTCAGGCTAGAAGTTTGACTTCTTTACATTCCAAGGTGAAAAAGGTATTGAGGGTTTTAAGGTGGGAGGTAGAAGTGAGACTACATTTGCATTTTTTGCAAGTACCAAACTCATGAATGTCGTGAACTCAGAGCCTGGGCATTGTTCCTGAGCTTTGTTGCTCAAGGGTAGTGCTCTCCACTTGAGCCACAGCTCCACATCTGGCTTTTTTGGTGTTTAATCGGAGATAAGGGTCTCAAAGACTTTTCTGCCTTGGCTTGGCATTGAACTGTGATCCTCAGATCTTAGCCTCCTGAGTAGCTAGGATTACACTGGCACCACGCCTGCATTTGCATTTTTAAAGGCACACTACTGAATCCTTCAGAGAGTAGGTTGAAAGCTTCAGCATAACACTGGCAGTGCCAGCAGGAACTACTTACTATGTTTAATATAGTCAGCCATACTATGCCAGTTGCTTACAGAAGACCAGCTTAGTTCAATCGCCAAATTAATAGGGGGATTTGGTGAGGCAAGATTGCCATGAAAAATTGACCACTTTTTTTTTTAGTCAGTTGAACTCTGGGCCTGGGTGCTGTCCCTCAGCTCAAGGCGAGTGTTCTACCAGTTGAGCCATAGCATCACATCCGGTTTTCTGGTGGTTAATTTGAGATAAGAGTCTCACGGACGTTCCTGCCTAGTCTGGCTTTGAACTGCAATCCTCAAATCTCATCCTCCTGAGTAGCTAGGATTACAGGCGTGAGCCACCTGTGCCCCACTAAAAGTTGAAGTTTTTTTGTGTTTTGCCAGTTATGGGGCCTGAACTCTGGGCCTAGGCATTGTCCCTCAGCTCTTCAGCTCAAGGCTAGCACTCTACCACTTGAGCCACAGCGCCACTTCTTGCTTTTTCTGCCTATGTGGTGCTGAGGAATCGAACCCAGGCCCTCATGCACGCAAGACAAGCACTCTACCACTGAGCCACCTTCCCAGCCAAAGTTGAAGTTTTTTAAGCGACAGATCTGTGGCCATGTGACCACCACAAGCATGGGACATAGGCACTGGAATCCCTTCACTTCTCTGTGAGACTTCTAGAAATATCTCTCTCTCACGTGGTCTTCCCTCCACACCTCCTATCTTGTTTAGTGTGCACCATGCATTTCCAATGGTTTTCATTTTTATTTTTACTATTGAGTGGTTTTCTTCAGAAAGAGGATGATCTTTGAATAATATAAAGCAAAGCTGGGTGTGGTGATGGGTGTTTGTAATCCTGGCTACAACATAGACTGGTAGGAAGAGCACAGGGTGATACTGGCAGCCAATAAGCTGAAGACCATATAAAAATAATTGCAAAAAGGCATGCCTAGCAAGTACAAGACCCTTAATTCAACCCTGAGTATTGCCAACATATCCCCCCAAAACAAAATCAGATCATATCCCTTAACACCCAAGAAAACACAGTGTTGTAAGCTCTAGAAACCATTGTGTGAATTATCAGCTCCTGCTCACATTGCTTAAGTTGTCCTTAGCTTACTCATTTCCCTTGCTCACGTCACTTCCAGGCACCTCATTCATTCATAGCATCAAACTTGCCGATCACTCCATTGCCTTAGGGCCTGGCTCTATCCTTGCCCCTCCCCTCCATCAACATAACTGCTTCATAGGTCACCTGGGTGAACCCTAGCCTGACCTCTAACATCCTCAAAGTCACTTTGCATTCATGACCTCATTTATTTTCCTCATTAGTCCCTAGCACTGTCAAGCCTCCAAGCAGCCTTAAGTTAGCAACACCTACACCTGAGATTGGACTTGACCACTCTGCCACAGAGTTGCCCAAAGAAGCAAGGCCAAGTGGACATAGATTATGACTTAGCTTGACCAAGAAAAACATGCTGGTAGCTCCCTGTATCCCTGATCCCATGGGGGAGTCAGTTCTGGATTCGAGCTAAATTATTTTATGGCCTGCAGCTGTATCCTAAATGGGGTGGCAAGGTCAGGCAGGTGGCTAAGACACCCTCCTGGCAGCCCCCACAAGATAGAGATGTGGGTGACAAACGGCCTTGGGACAGCTCCTCACAACACTGCTTATGTTACAGTGTTCCGGGAGGATCACAAGG